CTTTCTTTTCCTTAAATATATGTGTAATATATTCCACAAGGTCTAAAAAGGACGCCAAAAAGAACCTCTCGTTTCCTTCTAAAGCCTCAAAATTTCAGTCCCCCCCCCTTTAGCAATTTTTCTCCCGATTCCAGGCAAAGTATAAATTACGAGGTTTGTCATTCTTTACCGAACACCTCTGGCTCCGAGAAAACAATGAAAATTATACGAATAGAATCAACTGACTTGTCATAAAAAAAAATTGAATACATTTTCTCACAATAGAAATTGGTGGTCAATTTTCGTAGGTTAAAATCAACAAAACGTATATTTCCGTAACAATATCTCTCTTTTTCAATAAATAGTGGACTTTATTCCTTGCGCTTGGAAGTACAAAAATAAACATTGGGAATGTTGGTGAATATTTTTTTTTTAATGTTTTGAGGAAGAAGTACTTGTGTGAATCATAACAATAAAGAGAGTATTTTACACAAACTTTTAAAAAAATGGATTGATTTTCAATCAGTATATAATGATATATCCTTTGAAAGCATAATTAATGTTAAAAGAGTGACACTAACAGAAAAAAGCATATCTATCCCTATAAAATGGACTATTTAAGACACAGCACGGCATTTTGGCGAAATGGTGATCATTTGATGAGAAAATGGTTCAAATTTTTCATGTATCAGTATATGAGCTTAAGTCCTAGCGCCACTGAAGAACCGCTGTGTACAGAGGCTGGTGCACGATAAATCTGTCGTTTCTCAAAGTCCTCCCGTTGGCGTGGTGTAGTAGTTTAGAAGGTGCCAACTCAGGTATCATCCTCGTCATTGGACCTTGGTTCAGAACTGCGAGGTCCGTCGCTAAAGTTGCTTTATAATGCGATAGTAATAAACACTTACTCACTGGAATTACATAAAAACGATTTACGATGGTCATAAACAAATTCTTAAATTGGTACTTCCAGTGGCGTAACGTAAACCCCCGTATCGAGCAGGAGAGGTGCGCTCCGGGGAGCGCAAAGGTTATAGTTTTTCAATCCCTTGCAAGATCCGGCTTGGGGCCCAAACCCGACTTTCCAGGGGGTCCTAATATTCTCCGTTACGCAACTGGGTATTTCACTCTTCAAACTCCCCCAAATGGCGCCATTTAATGCACAATATCCCTCTCTCACCATAACTTTATCAATGAAAGACGACTCACTATGAAATTCGAAAGTCTGTGGCCTTGATTTACTATCTCTACAATGGAGACAGCGGCCCTGACCATGTATTCAATATCAATTTGGTTGGACTTACAGGAGTATTACATTCAATAATGTATTGTAATCATTCAGTTCAGTTACTCACATAAACGAATTCAGGATTTAAACACAAGAATCTTCGCTTATTAGGCATCGATTGCAGAATTACGTAATTACATGATAGTAATCAGTCGCACCATTTCTGCACAGAAAATCGCCAATTGTTCAAACAATTTATATTTTTTTTTTTTTGGAATTGAAATTTTTTTTTTTTACCTCTTTTCCCAAAAACTCTTTTGGGAGAAGAGACGATAGTACAGCTCTACCTAAAAGGTACAAAAGCTATGTGATTACAATACATTGTGGTTCACACACACTGATATTAATAACTCAGAATACAAACTTACAAACTGTAAAATCATGAATACCAAAATGTATGACTAGACAATACGATGAAAAAAATGACTTTAAAATGTTTATTTTAAATTTAAATCTCTCTCAATTCTAACAAATCCCACATTAATTATTTCAACCCATTTGTAAAATGCATTTTTCCCACTAATGGTTAGCACATTGTTCCCCCCTTTTTTAAAATGCATACAAAGACTCTTGTTTTTGGCAATAAATTTAAATATAATGGTTTTAAGTTGACTGGATTGCATTAACATAAACATGAAATTGAATAAAAGAGTTAATATGACTTACATTTAGAAGGATTAAGAATAGATGCACATGTAGAAATACGTAAGAAAAATACGTATTTCTTTGGGGGGGAGGAAACGGAAAAATTACTATCACCCCATACAGCGGAGGGAGGGGAATAATTTTAAGTAAACTAATGAATTCATTCTTACGTGTGACATTAGCTTAAGAAAATGGAACAAGAAACCAGATTTTGGAAGCATTTCATTTCTTTTATAATTCTCGTTCAATTTAATACTATTTATTTATTACCGTATTTACTAGAATCAAAGCTGAACTTTTTTTCCGGTGGAAAAGCTACTGAAAATTGGGCGTGGCCTAGAATAGAAGGTGGAAAAATTCGTTGGTCGGTGGTAATTGTATAAAATACTTTGACGGTTAAAACACACACAATTACAGGGGCATGTATGCATTTCAAAGTACTGGTGAAATAAATTAACTATTCCATTTTTATTAATTCTCATTAAAATTTACTTTTTAATTTCGTAAATATCGGATATCGATGAACTTTTATACTTTTTTTTTTCACAAAAACAAGTTGAGAATTTGGGATACGGCTTCGATCCGCATAAATACGGTACTATTTATTTAATAACTTAAAAAACTCCCAAAGAAATTCTAATGAAAATTTGAAATCACAAAATCGAAACCTCAAATAACTAATTGGATCCCCTCTCCCCCCCCAAAAAAGAAACCGCTTTATTCATTACAACTACTCTATTAACACACCCAAAGAAGTAAATAAACAACTTACACAACATGTAAAACAGAAAAGGTTAAAATGCAGAATTTTCTTTCTTTCCTTTGTTCTAAATTGCAACCTTATAGAAGGTTAAGCCTAACATGTCATCAAAAACGACAGAATTCGAAAAAAATTATGCAAGGAATAACTGTAGCTGCAGTTTTTCAAAAAGGGGCAAACACTCTCCGACACATGTCGAGCAAAGAAGAAAGAAAAGACCGGGGTCCACATTGCTTTAAGAATGTTGAAATCACGGGTAATCTTCGATTAGATGCGATCAGTGAAGTGTGGCGATTGAAAAAAGCCCGCCATTGTTCCTTTGTCTTCTGTGGTGGCAGAAGCAGAGGTGGCGCGTACTGAAATGGCTTTCTAACATGAGTTAAAACAGTGTAAGTGTTGGTCTGAATTGATTATTTCACTCTTTTATTATTCCTTTTTTTTTTTTTTGTTCTTGTTTCCTCCTCTGATGCCAGAGAACCAGTAACTGGTCCTTTACCTGGATCGGTTAAAATAAAACGACATGGAAGAAATTTCAGAACGCTTTCGGTAAAAAAAATCTGTAATCAAACGCGTTATTTTAAAAAGAATGTCAGAAAAAATTTTGAGTGTAATTTGTGGAATATGTATATCGACAGTTCTAAAACATTTATTATAATATCAAAATTTAGATTTATTTTTTCCTCATTTTGAAGAATAATACATTAATATTTCAGTAAAATAATTTCATGTTGTTTCATCCATAGTTCAGCTGATATTGATACAAAGCCCTTCATTGACTTTTTTACACATATTTCATACCATTTTCAATCTAAAACTGAGAACTCCTGAAAATAATGTATAGAATGTTTATGAAGGTTATGATTTCTAAAACATTTATTATAATATAAAAATTTAGATCGGTTTTTTACCCCGCCATTTTGAATACATCGTTAGAATATTATTTTGAAGAGAGAGAATGGTATTAAAATTTCAGTGAAGTAATTTCTAGCTGTTTCATCAGTAGTTCAACTGATAGAAATACAAAATCTTACGTTGATTGTTTTTTATTATACACATGTTTTCTACCATTTTCAATCTAAAACTGTAGTCACTACAATATGGAAAGTAATTTTACCGAAATATAGAAAAATTTTAAAGGAATGATAAACAGTTTTGAAATATCCGTGAACAGAGTTTGGTTGAATTTAACCACATCATCTTTCTGATCTGCTATGTGTGTGTGATTATTTTTATTCATAAAAATATTAAATATAAATAATAAAAAGTAAAAAAATAAATGAACTCTTTTTCTAAAAAAATATTTAATGCATTCTCCTGCCGCATAGATACACACAGTATTATTTGAAATATTTTTTTAAGCAAAATAGTTCTTAGAATATCAGTGGTTCATTTTGCCTTAAGATAGAATCAGACAAGAATCTGAAAATAATCTGAATTTAGAAATGCTTTTAAAATGCATTCCCATATTAAGTAATCAAACAATTAATTGAAATTCTATAACTTATCAGCATATTTAAGAATATAAAATTATATGTATCCAGAAAAACTTATATACATATGGAAGAATATAACGTCATAAAAAGAAAAATCAAGTTTTATTCCAGATCGTGAGCGTGAATATGAACAATGTATTAGAATAACGCACGTTGTAAATGTATTGTTAAATTTCAGTATTCTGTAAACAAACCATAGTTGACGTAGTTATGCTTTAATTATTGAATCAGTTCCACAGAACGTAATTCGCAATGAAGGTAGGCAACATCTTTTTTCCACAGAGTTGATTATCATTTTTTTAAACCTAAATGAAACGCAATGCACAAAATTCAAGAGCTCTTGAAAACTTTCACTGCTAATAAATTATTACGAGTGAATAAACTGATTAGTTAAGTGATTTTTTTAAAGAAAATTTTGAATTTCAAACTATTTACAAAATTTCATTAAAAAAATTACAATAATATATTTTTATGTAACAAACTCAAAATGGAAAAAAAAACTATTTGAAATCACATTTAAACTCTGAAAAAATATTATTTCCTTTCCTAATATTAGCTCTCTATATCTTTCTCTCTCTTTCAACTCCTCTACTAATAGTTCACGCTCTTCCTATACATATATTTGTTCAAATTTTTAATCGTTAACAAAATACTTTTTATTCATTTTATTCATCCATTTAAGTTCAAATACATTTTTTAAAATTTGTAGAGAATGACACTTGAAGTTAATGCAGTTTTTTCAAATATTAATTCATTAATTAAATTAAAAGATGAATAAATAGTAACAAACAAAAATAATAGTCTAACAGCATATATAGAAATGAAAATTTTTCGTCATATCCCTGTAGCGCAATGGATAGCGCGCGCGCGCGCGCGTCGGACTTCTAATCCAAAGGTCGTGGGCTCGAACCCATCTGGGATGGCCTAATTTCTGAGAATTAATTTCTTTTTTTATTATTTTATTTTATCAGAATAATTAAATTTAATTAATAAAGAAATAGTAACACACAAAAAAAAATAATCCAGCACCTTATATAGAAAGGAAAATAGAAATTTGCAAGGAAAATCTCTTTCTATTTTGTCTTTTAATGGTGTGATTCTGTCATATGTATATACATATTTATATTAATTGTAACTGTTTAATAAAAAGCAACTAAAAATTTTCTTTGTTGACCTAAGTAGGAATTGACTTAAAATTTTTTTTTATATTACTTGTTTAGCCTTATTTCTCCAGAATATTTAACATCCGTCCTGATTTTCGCTTTGCATCACTATATTCATATTTTATTCTAAAAGAATAGTGAACACGAGTAACAATGACTGCTCTGTGTCTCCCTGTACATACCCATTCAATATCTTAGCCAAAAGCGCTTTAAAAAAAATCCTACGTAATAGTGTGATATAGTATGTAGAATCGAACTCAACTAAATGCGGCTACAAGTTAATATTCACAATTATTTTAACAAATCTGACTCTTCAACTATAACTCGGGGAATTATTCACAGTGGACAAGGGCTAAGCTCTTGGACATCGGATCTAAAATTCCCAACTGAATGAAAGGGTGGGGGATTTTCATACATGAAGATGCATCACTAGTTGTCCTGGCTTTCCATGTCCCGATCCAAGAGTTAGGACATACAGGGGGGAGGTATTTATGCCATTTAAATATGCATTACCTTACTGGCCAGCTGACGAGTCCCCGCTGTCCAAGTTTTGATTTCAAAGGGAACAATAGTTGTTGGAATTTAAGTGGACCTTTAAATTTTGATTCACTTGCCATTTGTCTTCAATTGTTGATTAGGTTTTAAAAGTATGGTCCAACAGATGGAATTGCGAATCGCAACTCAATGCTACACAGAGACAAGGCTTTGATCTTCCTGTTACAGTAATTACGTAGCTTTAAAGTTCATGCAATTGAATAAATCCCCCAAAAGTTGATTTACAGAATACTTAACCACTGCCACAGTCCGCAGTGTTCTAAAAGTCTATATTGGTGTGTACCAAATTAAACCCTGAACCATTTCAGCCTTTGTGTCGCGTTGATGTATCGTTTGTTGCTCTGATTGAGGACAGCCAAAAGTTTTCTACACTCTGTTTAATTTGTGCAAATGTGCACATAATAGAAGGGATACAGCACAATAAATCCTCCTTGGATAAGGAGCAAAGAGGATAAATCCCATTACGAAAGTGAGATAGTTTATCAACAATTAAGACATAACTCTTTTGGTCAATCAAGAGATAAACCGGGCTTATTTTGGGTTTGGTAGCAATAATAAAATAATATCAATAAATATTTCAGAAAATAGATATGCTACATTTTTATGACTGCCGTTTAAGAAAGCAAATGGCAAATCCAAAATTTTCAAAATACGATTTGTAATTAATATTTTCACTCGAAAACTGAAAACGAAATTTTTTTAAAAAATTTAAATCCCGATTTTAATTGAATTATGAAAAAAATTATCATTTCTGCAGCATAAAATGTGAATAAGAGTAAAAAGGAGTGCATTATACTTTTTTTTAACTGTAATTGTATCCAAAAACTGTTACTTATATCTGATTTTGATCTTGAAATACATAGCAATTTTTTAAAGCATAATGACATTAAATACCAATTCGTTTTTTTCATTTTAAAAAAGAATAAGCTTAGAAATTAGAAGAAGAAAACACCGTTTTTCAAGAGAGAGTTAAGTATTTATTTTGAATTTATTCAACAAATTTTTTATGGGATAGATATTTTATTTACTTCTTTTAAAAAGGAAATAATTTACTAACTGCAGTTCCTCATTTTTAAAAAAAACACACAAAATTATTACTTTTTAATCTATTTTTTAATATTCAATTAAAGAAAATATGCAACAAATTTAACTGCTTTTATCAGGGAAAAATACTTCGAAAAAAAGAATTCCTTATACCCCAAAACTCAAGATTCAGTTGCAAGATTGAAATAAATTAATCTACGTTTTTTATTTAAGATGTTACCCAGCAAGTTTTCTGAATTGTTCCAAAGCAACTAATGAATACTCTTGATTGCTATGTAAGCATTCCCAATTTTAATTTAATATTTCTTGAAAGTTATATGAATTTGATTTAAGGTATCCAACTTTTTGCGACTTTTTTTTTTAAATGAAGATATGGGGATATTTTTTTTTTTGTGGTTTTTAGATTTATTTAGTATATATTTTTAAGAAAAATATGCTAAAATTATATAAGAAGAGAAAAAGAAAAAATTAATCTAAAAGAGAAAAAAATGGGTAAACATTTACTAAAAATTACATAAACGGGCCCAATCTGTACAAAAAGTTTATAAACAAATTTTCAATCTTGATGTGTTGCTTTGCTATTCACTTTTGAAATGACCTTCAGGATAAAAGATGTTTTAATTTTTACAAAAACTCGAGCACTTTTGTCTTAGTTATTATATAAAATTCCTCATAAAATCAGTGAGTATATTCACGTAAGGGATTGTAAATTTTGTAATGAAATAGTGATTGATAAATCTGAAGGTTAAAACACTTCTAATATGTAGAGTATCACATCTCTGCTTAAAGTAGTGGCATTTACTTTTATTAAAATACTTGTAGTTTTTGTTCTAGTCAATGGAAAATAATAAACTTGGTATTTTTATTAAGGCTGTCTTCGGTAAAAGTACGAGAGCTTGAACTAAACACGAAGCAAATTTTCAGAGAGAAAAAATGCCTAAATTTTTATGGAAATTTGCAATATTATAACTCACACCCCTGTTAACAATATAGTGCTTTTAAAAATGCCAAAAATATTCCATGAATACTTTCTTTTTTGTTATAATACGTCAAGGCATATATAGCTCATTTAACATTACGGTACAGGAGAAAAATCGCGCAACACTTTTTATACCAGAAAAAAAATGAATAAACTCGGTTGAAAACGGGAAGTAATAATAAAAAATTCTGCTCTCTAAAGAATAGTGAAGCTATAATATCATTTTAATGTTTCATTTCTTTTATATCTGAAAAAATGTTCCAAATTCTGGTCCTATTCTTTAACATTAACCGAAGACAGCCTTAAACCAATAAGATGGGCCATAAAATAAAATCATAAAAAATATGTCAATTTTTTGCAAAATTCACTATATTAGGGCAGATGGATATTTTAATTGGATCTCTACAACTTTTTGTGCATCAGAAAATATTCCATCCAGAAAAATTCTGTTCTCAACTCTGTGTGTGAAAACCACGTATCCAAGACAATTAGGGAACACACAATGACTAAACATTTTCTCTTCAATAAACCTATCAATCACAATCTTTACAGGCGGCTTCAGCCTTCAATGCTTCCCTCGTCATTCCCATGGATGATAATCCCCAGATTCCAGTAAATATCGTACGTTTCGATGCACCCCGATTCGCCCACTTTCTCAACGAGTAGCACAGTCCATCTGCCATCATTAAATTAAACGGTTGAAACAATGTTTCTAAGCATGGTGCATTTTTTCATCTTTCAAACCGCTTTAAATCATGCCTTCCCACTTCATTAACAACCGACCTGCTTGCTGTAGCACGTGCTAGTTGTAAATCACTCAAAACAAGAGAGTGTATCATGCATTACTAAATGTTAAAAGTTCTTTTTTTTTAATGCGTATGAGAGTGAAAAAAATAAAAGGCAGTAGATGAGAGAATGTGTTAAAGGTGATAAAAATTCTGTATGAACACAAAAATGTTGTGAATTTTCACAGTCGAGTTAATAGAAAATAATTCAACACAGCGCATTCGTATATTTTTAGAAGGTTGGACTCTCTTCAATCTGATAAGTCGTTCTTTTTTTAAAAAAATGAATCCGTTCAGAAAGGTAGGTCCAGGAAAAGTTGACATGCACATTAAATTAGAAAAGTTGTGTTCCTTTTAGTTAATGTTTCATTTACCGATTGTACTTTTTTTTTTGTCTTCCACAACTCAGACTGGGGGAAATTCTTTACATCCAGACTGATTATACACCTAATTCTGAATCGGTAATTATTTTTCAGCAAATTCAAACTTTGTAAAGAATTTAAAATATGTTCAAGGTACAATTTTAATGAATTCTGTATACATAAAATGTTCTAACAAGTGTTAATGCAGGCATTTATATTTCAGTAGAAAAAAAAACAGACTAAACAAAGCGGACACTGTGCGAAAAAATAAGGTAAGGTACCATCGAGATTTGATTAACAGCAGAGCACGAAAATTGGAAGGGGTTGGGGGGAAATGATGGACACACATTCTTTTACAATAACTATTATTACGTTCTTACAAATCATAAAAGAATTTATTTTTTTAATATAAAAATGAATAAAGAGTAGCATATATATATAGTAATGATTTGAAATCTCTAAAGGGTAGGAAGAACGGCTCGATCTCGAAAATCTGACCGGAATGAATGATGCGCACATTGTTTCATCGGGGAAGAGGGGAAGGGGCATATTTTCTTTTCTGTCAATACTTGTTGAGTGAAAATACTTAAGAATTTCTTCACAGATGCTGATAATTTCGAATGTAAAATGCTTCCTTGAATTTCGAGAAAAATATTCTACCACTGTAAATGAAACATGCAAAAGATTCTAATAATTCTATAAAACTCAAGAGCAGAAGGAAATGCTAATTACTACTCCCATCATACTTTATGTAACTGAATGTGAAAACATGCTTTTTCATTTATTTTAATACTTTAAATACAGGGTCTAATTTTTACGTTCTTTTCTCTCTCCTTTGAAAACGAAAACAGTGCATAACATGCATTCTAGACATTTTACTAATTGTATTATTTCCTAGCTTATTGATTAAAACACTTGTTTATCTCCCAGCGAAGGGGCTGCGGTAGCCCAGAGCCCAGCACCACCAAAGACCCGCCGTCTAATGGAGCGATGCCCGTTAAATCTGTCGAGAGATCAAACGTCCTCCCGCTGGT